TAAACACTATTCCAAGCGTTAGGTTCCCATAGTGAAAAACGCTTGGTATGGTTTAATTTAATAAAATTATTCCACAAGGCAGTATCCAATATCGGCGGCACTTACTTTAATCAATATAAGAAAGTGTTTAGGTAACTCCTACACTATGCTACTAGTCATAAGAAACTCTTCTAAATAAAGAAAATTAAGAATAGCTAGAAATGTATTTGGGTGATGTATAAATACATCTTACAGGGTTAAAGCTGTCGTGTCGACGAAAATAAATTATATTTCGATTAGAATAAAAAAAAACAAAAGTGGAATGATGACTATCTGTGTCGTAATCAACTTGTAATCCATTATTTAAATACCAAATTGTAAAGTTTCGCTCAATGCTGGTCGTTGGCAGCATTACATACAGAAAACTACAACTTAGGGCATGTTTCCTTGCCAAATCTTAATTCCATTGCATTCGTAAATATACATATTCCTTTAACCGCACTTCGGCCAAAGAATCTGTAATGTTTTACAGTGACTGCAACGTGAAACCAATATTAAGATAGTAATTGTTAATCGATGGTTAATTAGACAGTTTGGACATACGTGGGAGAACCAAGCTACGGCACGAATGGGTCGGCTCGACCGGAGTGATACCACGGTCTCACAGGAAACTGGCGTGATACAACCACAGCGTTGTATTTCGCCGTGTGAATGTGGTTACCAATCAATCCCTCCCTCTCCTTCTCCCCCCATCTCTGACCAACCCTTAAATATCCGAAACCTTTTTTTTGCAACCTTTGGTGTTGCGGGTGTCTATGGTCGTCGTTGATTGCTTTCCATCAGGTAATCCGTCAGATAGTTTGCCGACCGATACCATAAAAAAAACAATTGTATACGTCAGTCATATTGTGGGGAAAACCTTTACAAATGAACATTTCTACGTTCCGAACAGGAATCAATAGGATGACGCGTATATAGGCAGCAACTAACTTCCTCCACTTCTTCTGATAATGACACGTCATTACGGAAATGAACGTCATAGACCACTCCACAGTTATAGCAACCAAACATTTTTCCAATATAAAGTATATCATAGAATTAAAATTTGTCAATTCTTTACTAGCTAATTGCAACTTTCTAAATACTTATTGAATTCTTTATAGGTTAATTTTAATAAAAGCGAAACTCTTAAGGAATTGAGACACTAAAAGTGAAACAATCTTTGTAATAAGAAAATTTGATGTAAAATAAATAAGACATTTGCATTCGCAGAACATTTTTGAATAACTACCTACTATAGTTTCGACTGTCTCTATTTCTTGGCCACGCTTTTAGACAAGAAAGATATTTTATAATGTTAATCCTTGAACATTTAATTCTCATAGCACTTATTAAACCGAAGTCTGATGAACAAACATAATCAAAAAGTAGGTATACAGAATCATTACAAAGTTTCTAGTAACCAGTTCATATTAAATCGAAGTTAGGTTTCAGGAGGGCAGCCATATAAAGTTAGTTAATTACATGCTTTTAAAATAAAATGTTTTTCCTCAGAGCGCGATCCGTAGCTATACTGCAAAATGTAAAAAAATATCATCATAATGGAAATAATTATTTTGCCTTAATAAATAAACACAGGGTAGATTTTGAAACATACGGTTATACATTTATTTATATGTAGAGAAACTGGTGACAAGTCATAGGTATTCAATTGGTCAACGACTATGCACTAAGCACTACTAAGCTGTTAAAGCCTTAAAGCTTTATTTTCGAACCCAGAAATCCGATTACACATTTAAACCGGCAGGAAATAAATTATTCTGAGCTGTTTTTTGATAAATATACTAAATATATCGCACAGCAAAAATGAAATGAAACGATCATCTGTTCGACTCTCTAAACTTTCAAAATAAGATATTTTAGGCCGTCATCACACTTATGACTCCTCTGGCATTGCAGGTCTCCATAGGACAGAGCATTCATCCACGAAGGAAACGTATGCGCGTTTGCTGCCTATTCCATAATAAAATGTATAATCGAGATCTTCAAATATTGCATAAATCTGTATCTACCTCCGTTGCCTCGCTATAGTTGAGCCGTCATATTTAGCCTCCGGAGCGTAGATAGCCCGCCCGACTGACGGGCGAGACGACTGCCAACCCGGCAACCGATACTAAATAATAAATCTTTACTGTCACATAACACAGTTGCGAATTATGCTCTTCATGTAGTAACCTCATTTTGAGAATGAATCTCATTGCACCATTTTTATGTATCTTCGGGATTTTAAAATACAACGGTATCTGATATATTTTTATATTTAATTTTTATCTTTGAAATGAATAAAACGAATTGAAATGGATTTATTTTGCAATAAAAATAAATTTATTTTTTTATGAAGTCAAATAGAATTATTATGTTTTCGGGTTACTCGCGTAATTATTTGACTAGGAACTCGACTAGTTTCAAGCCATGTGAGAGGCTCATATTATGTTATAATCAAAATCAAATAGAATGCTTATTAAAAACTCATAAATGGTATTAGTTTTTTTATAACGTTGCTGTGTTGCTGTAGGTACCTTCTAGCACTTTTTTGACGCACGTGTATTATTCGATTAAATGTGGCCCAACGGGGCCGATGTTCACCCGGGCTTGTGGGGTAGACCAGCGCAATAAGGTACCTACCGCGGCCTCGACCTGTAGCAGGACTTGGAACGGGTAAGGTTTTAGTTAGCTAGAGCCTGACACTCCCTTTTGCCTAACGAGTTTTACACGATAAGATGTCTCTTTATTACCACGGTCAATCAGAAGAGGGCGAACATTCTTTGCCATTACGAAATGTATTTAAGGGTCCTTAACAAAAAAAAAGTACTTAATTAAACTTTGCAGTATTCTGACATTGTTGGCAACTTTCTAATTTATTTATATTATAATGAAGCCATGAACGGAAAACATTGTTTGATAACCGTCTAGCATTGGTATGGTAGCAATGTTCATACAGTTTAAAGAGGAGCAGGCATTATTTAATACTTAGACAATGTATTTATGCGGTAAAATAAATCTTAACTGACAGTGCTAAATAGCGATATATAACGCACAAAAATAATCTTGGTTATCTCATATAATTTAGGTAAAACTTTCTGGTTTGTAACATGTACACTGTTGTAACACTACATTTTGAACTACAGTCACAACGTTAATGCGATCAGAACTAATGCATTTTAGCTTAGCTCTTGTGGTCTTTAACCGGCTTAACACCTCTGCCGACCAATACAATGCATACTACAAGCTTATACTCATAAACTGTTTTCATCTAGTTCGTCGTCGTTAAAAAAACGGAAACATCTATTAACACATGCGCCACGCACTGGCGAAGTCTTGGAAAACGTTCGAACTTCGAAACGTTAACAGTAATATGATCATCACGTACAATTATGATGCAATTAAAGTTACACTTTGAATAAAAAACTGGAAAAGGAATAAAGGTTAAAGGTGTTCGACGTGTTACATATAGGTGCGTGTACTCATATTCTACGCATGTTTTATTTATATTTTTAAGGCATATCCGACCCAGATTGGGCCTTATGTCTTCTGTGCCTAGGCGCTTGCCAACAATGTCCATCATCATCATCATCAGTGTTCTCGATTGAAATGATGGAAACGAGGAAAATAGATTCAAATAACAAACTGTCTATTCGCGACCTAATTACTGTAGTTTTTAAGATACTGAGGAAAACGTTCGTAAAATTGTTTTGAAGCAAACAGTAAAAATATTACGCGTTTCAGTGATCTCAAAATAAAAACGGCCTTGGAACAGTTCGAAATGAAGCAGCGAAACAGTCAATACATATAAAATGTTCTTAGTTTTAAGTTGTTACAACGGACGAAACCAATCTCCTTTTCAATATTACTAATACATATATTGTCTATGACGTATAGTATTAAAATACTTGCCTTCAGTAGGTGTTCGTCAGGCCTAACAGAATAGCTGAAAAGTATGGCATATTTGCTCAGTGAACCATCGAGTGCCAAGATGTCGCAGATGGAAGTAGCGCTATCGACCCAGTTATTGAAGCGAGAAAAATGCATAATATACACGTGGCCAAAACATATGCCAGATTATAAATTGAAGCTTATTTTATATGTTTGCTGAATCAAGTCAAGCCTAATAATTATAAAGCTATCGTTTCCCTTACAAAAAGACTGTCAAACAGGTTAACAGCAAGGTAATATATAAAACACTATCCATGATTCCCACACAGTTACCCATTCACTCAGGAGCGGGAAGGTTCAATTTCTTGTAGGGATTTTTCTGTCCGGTGCTTATAGTACATTATGTAGACTTACCTAATTAGAACTGCTAGTTATCGTTGTATACTATTGCAAGTAAGTGGGAATATATAGTTAAACAGATTTGTTGAAAAGCGCCTACGCTACAGGGATTTCTAGTGTAACATGTTTATTCATTCATTCAGTTTTGGCTAGCGATCTTATCCACCAAAACACAAATTGATCTCTAAATCAGTTCCACGTGATACTGTTAGAAATGCAATAAACAAACAATATTTTAGCTGAACCTCTGCAGCTTGCAACCGGGAAATGTTTTATCGTAATACTTATAGCGAAGTGTAAGATATGTCATTACTTATCTACAATTAATGGTTTCTGCATACAATGGTCCACTTTGGCCACAATTCAACTGCTACAACTAGATTGCACCTAGTGGCACCTAATCTTTCAATGAAGTTTGAAGTTTAGCCAATTCTGTATAATACATCATTAGATATACGCAATTGTCTGAACAATTGACCCTTCAGTCGACATCGCGACACCATAAAAGCGCTGAAGTATCCACCGTAAGCCCCTACAAGTGACCTTTAAACCGCACACATGACTATGTATGTTATAATATACGCGTACGGTACAGTGTACATCTAGTATCGTATTCCCATGCGTCAACGGCAAGCTCTGATGCATCACATGTACCAGAAAATCGGGTTAAGAATAGTATATGCACACACCGTTTCCATGTTTCGCTGATGTAGGTACAACATAATGCCTACCTTAAATGTGGTGATTAAAATCATAAAAAGTATTAATTAAGTGTATGTAAGCAAAGGTTCAATATAAAGTTTGATAAGAGTGAAATATTAGATTATTGCCAGGTCGACTGGCGATCCACTTGAACCAAGAAAACACCATACAATGAGACAAGGAAGTAATTGTTTATTTCCTGGAGTAACCGGTTCTTTTAAAACGACCACAGAATGACAGAAAGGGACTCATTTTTCAATCACTTCAATTAAGCGCGATGATTTCATTACGAGTATTCGCTTTGAATAATGAATAATGTTTACTCAGAAAAAGTTAAGTTTGTTCTGGACATACCCGTTGTTGTGAAAATAATCTGAAGTGGCAGTATGGCGGTTATGTTTGTCGTCGTTTGTTGAGGAACTCGTGTTTTAGAGTAGAGACCGGGCTTCCGCAAACAGCAATATAGGAGCTCAGTCAGGTGGAGCGACGATCATAACAAACCGGTAGGGGCTAGTAAAATGCAAAGTGCTGAAGTTGTGCTGTTCAAGAGGCCTATGTTTAGCCGTAGATAGAACCGAACTAACAATTATAGTGAATACGACAACACTTGTTTTTAATAATTATTTTTTTGTGTTTCAATATCTTCATAATTTGAGTTTGTTTAAGTCGCCATCTAAAATACACAGTTAAATAATAACGTTTCAGATAATCTAAAATAACTTTGCTGAAAATAGAAATACGTAAGACGGAATTTAGCAAAAAAAAGTAAAGGAAAGTGAGACTGGTTCGGGTTTGGTGCCAACGAAACCGAAAAGAACAGAGCCTTGCCTGTCAGTTATTTAATTTTCACGTTAAATCGTAGTTTGTATCTAGTAGAAAAAGTACGTCGACTATTCAAAAAATAATACAAATCTGATAAAGTCAGAGCGTGTTGCCGGAGAGAACGTGGAAGCTAGTGGAAGCATTAAAGCAAACAGTTCTTGAAATGGAACAATGGCCGTAACGTTAAACATATAAACGATATACACGTTGAAACATTTTAAAATGTCATTAAAGATTTAGTAACCTTTTGGGTGGATCAAAAATTGTTTCAAGACTAATGATACTTTTTATTGCTTTAAATCTTATTTTATGACATCGTCAACCTAAATCCGTTGTTTAAGTTTCAGAATGGATTCTCTGTAAGAAATAGATTCGGGTACGTTTGGTGCTATTGCTTGTTGCCATTTTGATTTTATTTTAGACACCACGTTTCTGAAACTTTTAAACGATTATCGAGAAAAACCTCCATTAATAAATTTTAATAACCTTTCCAGCTTTCATTAAAAACATTATCATTCTTCCTATTACACGTTCTGTAAATGCCTATAACAATGTTTATCATGTTACTACCCCAGACAAGTACAACCATGTCTGTTATTGATTCGGGAAACCAACAGTTGTGTTTACGGATACATCAAGATTCACTGTCAATATTTTCTTTGGAAACGACCCGTATTTTCGCGAACTATTTAATGCAACTTCTACGAATCGGATTCTAAAATAATGTTAAATGTAGGTGCGTGTACACAATGAAGGATTATGTGTTGCTATCGTGCTAGTAAAGTACATAATCAAAAACTAATTAATAACACATTATTGACATTACGGAGACGGGACCCTACGGATTGACATTATTGACGTTACGGTGAAAAGCTCTGGAAAATGCTATCAGCTTCATATGCAGTTTTATAGATTTGCAAATCTTGCTTAAGTAGCATATTAAATTCAGCACGGGCGCTTAACGATTACAGCGCGCTTGAGCATGAGCAGTGCACGTGTTCCCTATATTAAATCGGATAATTCCGCTATCACGAAACATGAAATAAGAGGAAACTTTCAATCGATATGGAACTTACTCGTAAGTACCTACATGTTTTTATGTTTCCGCGATGGCTTTGAGCCGACTTTAAATATAAAATTTTACTGCGAAAAAGTATATAAAAGTAATCCGAGCCTCACATTCGTAACATATGTATATGAAAACATTTCGAGAATGGCTTAATCAAAGGAGGACTTTGCAGAGCTCATTACTGCTTTTTTTATTTAAGTTAAAATAAATTCATGAAAATGATAGCCTTTTTTAGATCAAATAACAAATAGTAAACAAATAGTAATTGATACTAAAAACGTACATAAATAATAGGGTACAACTTACATACCCACTTCATTAAAGTTGAAAGTTTTGTTGAACATTTTGCTATCATACATCATACCCACTATTGATCGATCTGTATCATATCAGTATTGATAGATAGAAGCTACTTTATCGAGCCTCTTTAGTCATTGTATTCAATTTCATGGCTTTTTTTCACAATTTTAGGCCCGATGATGGTACAGGATGAGCAATATCATATAATGATGAATGAATCCTTGGTAGGACGTTTATGTTGCAAGTATCTTATTGTGTGCGTACTCATTGGTAGAATGATACCTCCCATCGTCTTAGACTGCTGCATAGTACACTAATACAATGAAATGTGCTTTGCAGACTGATATAACGAGTTGACGGTGTCAGTCATCGTTACCTTCACCTTACACCATGTCATGTTTGATTAATTAGAAGCAATTAGGTAGTTGATATTGAAGCTTACACATTTTATGGGAGGCTCTTGCTTTGTTTAATACTCAGAATCGAGATATGAAAAAGCCAAATAATATTTTATACTAGCGAAATCGATAGAAATATAGCCTCTAGACATTTAATTAAAACTGGGGTGTCGCTTTTAAGTCCTTAACGAGACTTATTTCAAACCAACGCTTAATTTCTTCAAGCATAAAATATAACCCTAATAAATAACGTATGAATAGGCATAGGATTTAATTACATAATTTCAATAAGAACACAATTTTCTTAGCATCTTGGTACATGCATTACAAGAATACCTACGAACTATGTCCAGTGCACCAAACAGTAGGGTTATGATCTCAATAGTCTATTTACGTGTAGAACTCGTGGTATGTGAGGAATGTAACCAGATTGCATCTAAGAAGGGGTTACATCCACAAATGAGGTGCGAGTAATCAACGTTAGAACCGCTGACAGTGTGTCATTAAAATCGCTTCTATTTTTTCTGACGCGAGTTGTATTTATGGGTTCAAGTTACATATCTTTATAAGATTCGTTGCTGATTTTTAAGGGAAAAAATACAATATCTTGCCTTCAGTTTGAATAATCTTTGTAAAAACAATCTTGGAACGCATTGCACGCTCTTAATTGATCGAAGTTGGAAAGTGACACGAGGAGAGTATTCATTACCATGTAGTCATGCCAGCTAAAAATAAACTAATTACAACTGGGAAATCAATAACAATTAATATTTTATTTCTTTATGGATAGTTATATCTGTAGGTACTAGTACTTCTTTGTTATAATAACCACATATTTTTATTCAATATCAAAACATATCTTTGGTAGTTAACTGGTCAGACAGTCAGAGGGATTATCGCAGTGTTTATTCAGAGATGTAAATTACAATAAAGTCTACAGTACATTTATAAGTACGCCCTCAAGACGCGTATGGGAGAACATTAATTGTCTCGATTAAAACTTGTTAATACCTTCCTGCGGTCATTGACTGGGTTATTAGACAAAACTTGTGTAGGCGACTACACCCTACGACCTTATATCGCGTTAATTTCCAGGAGAGGGCTCGAAGAAGAATATTGTACAAAAAATATTAATTAAATTCCTTATAATTAACCCAATCGTAATATTATTCCGCGGCATTGGGAGATTTTAAGTCGGCAGTGATACAACGACGCTTAGATAAATGTCAGCAGACGTGTCGCTTCGTTTTAAACCAGCAATGTACACGGTGACGTATGAGATAGTGCTGTAGACAGTCAGATTCTAATTCTGTACCGGTGACGTTGTGTTCGGTCGAAACAATCGAAAGTTATTCCGAGTGCTAAACCGACACACGTGACTCGGTATGCCGCGTTCTATTCGAAACACCGATTTGCGGAAGTCGATTAGGAATATATCAATTATAAGCTTCAGGAGGAATCGATATAATATTATTTTAAATAAATCTATTGAAGAATATTTACTTAATACACAATAAAGTTTCAATGTAACGAAGCTGTGGTACAAAAAGCATTTTTTTATTTATAAGGTTAGCCCTGAATAGTTTTATGATTGTATAGATAGCATCAAATTCAATTTTAATATAATTCCAATAAATATTTTACTGTTGTTTCTTTTCATTCATTAAAACTATACACACTATCAGAAATTCAAGATTGTGATATACAGTTGAATTAATAAATTGTATGAATATGACGAAAGATAATTTTACGTTTATTTAATCCAAGAACAATAATCTATTTTGGGTTATCTGATTATTAAATTTAAGAATTAATTTTATAAAAATATTTTTATAATTAGTTAAAGATTTGGTCCCTGCTACAGTAAGTACATAATTTTTCATCAAGTAACATAGTTTTTTAATTATAAACTATCATAGAACCAAATAAAAAATTAAAAATTTTCAAAATTAAACTATATGCAGAGGCAACATTGTTCTTTGATGAGAAAAATTATACTCTAACTCCCAAAAGAGTTTAGGTTTATGCAAACTAAATAACTCTTATTCAACCTTTTTTTAATAAATAAGAAGACTACTAATTTTATTAACTTGGTTGATGATTCATTGAACAAAATAGAAAACAAACACGGTTCAGGTTATCACAATCTAGTACCTTTAGATGAGCATTTCTTGTGTACATAATAATTAAATATACATGACATACAGCTTTTTGTACTCAACTCAAGTTTGATCAAATTTTTATAAGTGAAAGGTCGGACGAAAAATTGATCTAAGTAGCTTTTATTCTCAGTAAATAAATTAAAACTGAGCAAGCTCTGCAATCAAGGTATCATCAATTCATATTACATAATTAAAAAAAAATATCCTTTTTTTCAGAAATAGTAAGGAAGTAGTTACAACACAATTTCTTTTTCGAATGGATGAAAATTAACTTTATTATCTTTAAATCATAGTTCAGAATGGTGGTTGAATAGCCAATTTCAATACTTTCATAGAAATTTCAAAAACTATAATTTATTTAGATTTTGTATACAGAACAGACTTGAGACATTAATATTTTTGCATCAAAACTAAGAATTTTCAAGTCAATAAATTATAGCTTTCAATATATTATTATATTTTTATTCTTTCATAGACATTTTACTTTTGAAAAATGAATGTTGCCAATTTCACATAATGAATAAGGGGAAATGGGAAAGAGCAAAAGCTTAAAAAATTTGAAAGTATCATGATCAAATAAAATAATATCTTTGTTTTTAGTTCAGAAAATGTTTCTTAGTGTGGTGTTTACTTACTTACAACTCTGAACTTATGTAGTACTGCAGGATTTAGGTAAGTTTAGGATTGATATAAATAAAATTATTTAAATATGAAAAACCTCTTTAACCTCTCTTTTTTTCTTTATCTTTAAATAAAGTCATTTTTATCAGCTAGTTTTTTTCCAACAGCAGACAAAAGTTACCCGAGCGTGTTTTGAAATGCTATTGGTAATATTTTTGTGGCATGTTGAGAAAATTTCTTTTATAGACATTCTATTCCTACAGTAGAAGTGGTAAAAAAAATTCATTGCTGCATCCCAGATTATTTGAATACATTTTTTTATGTTGCCCTGCATCGTGGGTGTTTACACACATACACATCACATCTGTGGATCATACAAAGAGTTGTTCCATGCGGAAATCAACCCAGCAACACATTGCACAGCAGTCAGTTGCCCAGCCACCGCATCATCCATGCAGTCAAGTGGGTCATCTGACATGGTCACTTTTATTTATATTGATTATTTTCTTCTAACAACTGTCTGCCATATGAAACTAGTTTAAGGGTTAACAGATAAGTTTTTTTTACATAAAAGTTGTATAATAAAGTAATCATGCTGTCAGTCACAACTTTTTATAAGTTCTCAAAACTAATGTTTTATGAAACCCCATGAAGCATTTGAATGTTGATCAACCATCTCTTCAGATAGACATTTTGTGTTTTTCATAGTGCATGGGTAATGCACTATTAATTAGTAGTATGCATTTGATCTTCTTATATCTTACATATTCATTCAAAAAAGTGAGTGACATTTTATCAGACTACTTATTTAAAAACATTTTTTGTTTCCAAACATAAACATTTGTACATAAATAATAATAATTTTTAAAAAGAGTAACAATTGAGTTTCTTGCTTGTTCTTCTTCATTTGAAACTACAATTTGGAACAAGCACCTAGCTGCACTGATGAACAGACTACTGTTTTATTTTGATGTTTCAAAAGTACTTATTAATGGTTTAGTTGGAATAAATGATTTGGATTTGATTTGGTACTAAGTACCAGTATCAAAATATATGTCAACTAGCTTTTGCCCGCGACTTTGTTCACGTGGAAAAGTTACTTCCTGCAGATTTTTGGAATAAAAACTATCCTATGTCCTTTCTCGAGTTCCAAACTATGTCTGTACCAAATTTCACAGAAATCGGCTCAGTAGTTTAGGCGTGAAGAAAAGACAGACAGACAGACAGAGTAACTTTCGCATTTATAATATTAGTTAGAATAGTTAGGATTACAGCATTTAAAAAAATGTAGTCGCTAAGTTTTTAACCGATTTCACTACTATAGTTTTGCACACAATAGCTTAAAAAACATATATCCTTTTAATAAAAGTTCTTCATCAAACTAATTTTCAGGGGCATTAATATCTATTTACATGGATCCTTAGAATGCTCCGACGACATATATAATGAAGTAGATTAAAATAAAGAAGGTAGGGTAGCATGATATTATTTACAAATAATACAAAAACAAAGATAATATACATAATAATATGTTGATCTGAATGTGAGGAAATGTTTACAGGTGGGTAGTTGTATATACATCATCCATACAGTACTTTAACCCTTATAATGGTTAATGAGTATAATGTATGCAGTGCTTAACTATAAAAATCTATGGAGGTACCATATATTTTTATAGTTAATGATTTAGGCTAACAGAAGGTCAAGTATAGACCAGCCAAGATGCCTTTAATGAAAAATTATTCTAGTAGCTATAATTTTAAAAATTGTCTCAAACATTATCTTATTTTTAATGAAACCTAATAAACCTAAATACTGTCTTCTACAATGTGGTTTTAAGTCATATGCTAACAAAAAACACAGATGCAAAAAGCAAAACCAAGTCATTATTATTGTTTTCAGTAAAATTTTATTACAAAACATAGACCTTAATATAGAATGTAAGTAATCACGGTTATATTGTATGATAAAACACTATTATTTAATTATGGAATTGAAACCTAAGCTAATTAATTAGTGATTATTTAACACATCCAAATGCTGATCTCTCTTTGTATGTAGTTTTGGTAAAAAATTAAGAATCAAACAGCAACTACGATTCCAGATTGCTCAAAATTCAGCTAAACTATTATGAAAAAGAAGTTGATTTGTAGATGTGACTGCAACACAGATAAACAAACATTCCACTTTGAATTGAGTAACAAGATTAGACTATACCATTCAACCTAGTTAAAAATAATTGTTTAAAAGAATTTGCAAATTTCATTAACATAACAACAACTATTGTAGGATATGAACAGAATTTTAGGGCACCATTAAACTAGATATTTCTAGCTAGTGCATCAGTTTCCATACAAACAGTGATAAAAAGGTAGACTGATGGCAAAACTTGGAATTGAGGGCTCAACTTTATGAATGGCAATTGGACTAAAAAGTAAGTGATAACAACTAATATGACAGTTAACATGAAGCAAGTAAAGAAGACTATCAATTTATAGGAGTGTAGATCAGCTAGCTTACCTGATGGAGAGCAGTGAGGCCGTCAACGTTGGCAGTGTTGATGTCGGCGCCTCTCTTCAACAGTCTCTGCACTTCATCTTTGTCACCTGCCGTACAAGCCGCCAAAAACACTATCCCAGATGAAAACTGAATTCTTGACGCCCGTCGCGGTGTCGGGGACTGCTTGTTCGTGTCCGATTCTTCCCATCTCTTCAACTGCTCCGCTCTCTTGAACAACGCTGACGAAGACCTATTATCCGTCATTTTGACTCTCGGCAAACCACTTATCACTCAATATGGTCCATCCAAACACTTTTCACGGGGCATAGATTGTGTTTTTACTGCATACAGTACACAAACGCCGAGTCCATAACTTAATTGCCAAAAAAGGAAACATGAAAGAGGAAACGTTCCAGGGAGATAGATACTAAGAAGCATTCACACGACCATTGTTCCACACACTTGTTGAATAATTCGAATTGCACATCCGGACTTCAATTCTATATACATGACATAACCAATAAGCTAGACATTTAGCGTGGCAGCCATTACGAGAATAAATTTAAACAGCCTACTAAAGTACCTACATACCGAATGCAAAAAGAAAAACTAGGCAGCGAATGAGAATGACGGAAGAAGAAAACGCCTAGCGCCACCTAGCACAACAAAGGTATTGAGTTGCCATAAGCCAAAATTTATAAAAATGTACATGAAAAATGTAATCGAAAACATATTGCGATGATATTCTCGTTTATTTAAGTATAGTGAGATTGGAAACCAAATTCAAAATAACTCGCGGTAAATTTGAAATAAAAAAGTTGACTTTATCATTATTAAGATTTTTATATATTAATATCTAAAAGGGCTGATCGCATCGCTATTTCCTACTATGTTTTTCTGTTGTCATCATAAAATATATTCACCGAAAAACTAAAATACTTTTTGTTGCTATATTCATTTGAAGCTTTAACATAATATTAGTATCAATGAACACAATTCGATTTTTTCATTTGATAATTTTAAAAGTTGCCATATATAAACACCTTTTGCCTGTGTCCCAAGTTCAATTTTCATTTGCCAACCTTTAAGCTTTGATGAGATAACTAAAATTGAAAAACACTAAAAATATAGATTTCAATTCAAAACTTTACCAGTTTGGGCTCGCGTCTGATGTTGAGGCTGCTGAATTTGGAGCCGTTCCGGATAGTGGCAATTGAGCTTGGGTTACACCATCAGACAGGCCTGAGCGATGAGGCGGGATGACTCCCTGACCAAGGGGCCGGGGCCGGGACGACATTTGTGTCGTAGGTGTAAAAGCGGTCGCAGGAGCAGGCTTCTGTGCAGGGTGCGTATACTGCAGTATGACGCTGGTATACAAGTAATGAATCTCTCATGACTACAGGGCTTTTGTTTTGCCCGGCTGAAAAGGGGGGACATAGTTAATTTATAAATTTCTTTAGAAAATAAACTTTTTATTAGATAACACCGAAACGAACACGTTATACTAGATATAACAAATTCGGGGCATCGCGCTACTTGAACAGGAGTAGAAACCCTTTGAAAGAATTCTAAGCTCCTCGTAGTAGTCGTAGTGCTCCTATCAGGATGATGGCCGAATTTAGTCGGCGGTCAGTTTGATATCCGCGGTGGACGCCATAATGCGTCAGCGCTATCAATTCTCTGAAAAAGGGCATAAATAGCTAAAACAGACTTATGTGTGAAAGTGAGACCTGTTCTAAAAGAATCTTAGACTGTATTTAATCTGGTCCGGTTATCTCACAAAGCATAAAGGGCATATAAGCGAAGTCAAAATGCAGATTGCGTTTGGGATAGTCTGAAATATAAATGTGATTCGCATTTCGCATTCGCATTCGCATTTCGCATCGAAATTCGCAGCCGAGCGCTCGTCGAGTCAATATCTCCTGAGGATGCCCTGTGGAGGGGCGAAACACGTGTCGAGTATAGGTTTGATTGCGTGGCATGTTTTTCCGTTTTGTGTATGTGTGCATATGCATGTGGACGGGAGGGTGGGACCCTTGCTGCATGTGCATATGCATGATTGCATAGGAGTGGGATGGCATCCTGCAAGTCTGGATTTTTGTCGCGGAATTAGGGAAAATATTTAGATATTTTCCCTAACATTTAATAAATGTGATCTGTTAAAAATTATTTCCATTCTAATATTTTTTAACAACTAACAGAAATACATTGGGTTTATTATACTGTCTGCTGGGAATATTGGAGCTTAACAAAAAACATCTATTACAGTAGTGGAAATAGAATTGTACAATATTTATGTTAGCGAACGGTTTTTCTCCACATTATTAACTTATTTGAATTTATTAAAGAATTAGGTTCAAACCATTCATTACTTTTGTCATGAAGATATTTACAGACTTGCGTGGTTATACTTTTAGTACGATATGATAGTTTACAATATTTTTTATTTTAAGATATGATACTTAAAAAAATTTTTGATTTTGAGATAGATTCATTAGAGCATTCGTTTAAACCTTACTAGTTTTTGGTTGCTATTTTAAGTTGTTAATCCTAAATAATTAACTTTAATATATATGATTCTTCTTCTTTTTGTTTATGGCTCCTTCGTCATTCGAAGATTTTGCCAACGTCGAGGTAGGAAAAGACACTGTGATCGGTGTAAAAAAAACAAAAGTAATGTAACTAATGACCGGTAATCAATGATGTTTGTAGTGCTGGAAAAGGACAAAACAATTTGTTAGAATTAACGACACAAGGGTTAAAACATAAAACGAAGGGGAGTGGAAAGTAGATGTTTAGGTTAAAACTAAATGAAGAATAAGGAAAGGGAATATGTTATAATAAGGAAAATGTAAAAGACTATGTACAAAGACAAGTGTTAAAGTATGATGTGATTAATATTGATAAATTTGTATAGGATCTACCATGGGGGAATGGACAAGGGTTAGTAGGAATGGGATATTTATTGGACGGGGGATATCATTAGGGAGGAGATCATAAAGAGGGGTAATCAGGCGAGGACATGAAAAAAGCAAGTGTTCCAGAGTACCCTCTTCCAAACCACATTCACAGATAGAATGATCTCTTACTCTGATTATATATATGATTAATAAAACAGAAATAAAACTATATTATAAACCTGCAACACTTGAAATGACATTTCGATCGTATATCGAGAATATCAGTTGAGCTCATAAGACTAGTTTTGGTAGGGCAACATTTAGAGTAAAAAATACAATCAAAATTATAATATTAAACAATAAATTTTTAAATGCAATTAAATGTAAAAAGAAATTTTATAATAAAATATATCAATAAGAATTTTATATTTTCTCTTTTGTATTTTTGTGTTAGGTTAATCTCTAAAAGTTTTGTGCCAAAGAGAACAAACATTTCTTTTTGCAGCGCTAGCGGGCTCTGGTGTTCCGAATTAGTACCAGTAGTTGGCAATAGCGAGTCGGAGTCAGAAATTATTCAAAATTCAAGATGGCCATGTGTCACGATGGTTTCTTGAATTGGAATAGTTAACTTTATTTGTTTTGTGTGAAAAAAGTGCTTTGCCATGATGGCTGACTTAAGTGTTGATATTTCAAAGTTGCCGGACGAGATAAGAGATAAATTAGCGGAGTTAGACTTGGAGTTATCCGAAGGTAAGAATGCAGTAAGTCTGCGTTACTCGTAGATCGATAATTTGTTAATTTTGATTATTTTTTTCTAAATTAGCTTTTATTTGTGTATTCATTAGTAATTTCTAGATTTTATTTTAATATTTTTAGTTATAGTTTTGGGCTTAAAATAAGTTTTTTTGGCGTAGTTTGCCAGCTGATGTCTTCGGTAAATAAAGTATGGGAATGAGTTTACAGTGGTTGATTTTGATATTATGTTGTGATAAAGTTATGTGTGTTAGGTGTTCACGCTCGAATAGTTACGTTGTCACACATGGCAAACTAAGGAATGCATCACACTGCACGAGAAGACGACACTTCTTAGAATACGCTTTACTTACCAGCAACTTTGTATCGTACTTTTGTATTGCCGAGAACAAGTCTGTCGGAGACTCGCCTTGCGTTTTACCCTTTCAGATAAGTCGTTTGTGCCGCTGTTATACGCCTAAAACTAGTTTAAAACTACCTTTTAAAACTTTTAAATTGTAGAAATTACGAAACGACGCTTTGAAAAGCGTTTGTTTTTCTCGTTGTTAATGAGAATAGAGCTACTCATTTATCGCCCAATACGACGATGTACTCATTGTCAGTTTCTTTGTGACCAAATCATCCTAACTGTGGTCAAGTTAGTATGAATAAATTACTCATATCCTTTAGAGAGATTCATCCACTCAATTTAGTGTTATCATTTACTGCAGGAAGTGAGAGGTCTCATCATTGTATTGTAAATAGGTTATTAATTCTTATCCAGATCTCTAAGTCAATAATCATTAGAGATAACTTTAACTCTAATTTAGACATTTTTTTTCAAAAAATCAGAAATTTCACTGATTTATTTCTTATCTAATCAGAAAATGTTATAAGATAAATATTCTAAGATTCTTTTAAGAATACAACCAAAAGGTAGACTAACTTTACAAATGAAGATTGTGTTTCCTTTAGTCATAATCTAAGGATATATTTAAAAAAATAGCATGGTTCTTGTACAATTAGGTCACTTGGCATTTTGTACACCATTCAAAAGGCTTATTAGTTTTAATACATTGATTTAAATCTATGTTAATTATTAAATATTTAAGGGAACACAATAGGTATCTTCTTTAAAACAAAAATTAGGAATCCATTAAAGGAGAAAGCAGGGCAATTTAATGTAATACAGCGTATAATATATTTTTTATGACTGTATTATCAGTGGATAATACCAATACCTACATATAACAAAATCAATATTTTTTTATCAGATAATTGCAACTATGAGTTTCTTACCTAATGATTATTGTCGATATTTGATATATATATTTTTTTAATCATTGTTGTTAAATTGCAAATTAATTAATTATTACGACAATCTACTTATTTAATAGCGGTAATTACCTAAAGGTCTATAAATTATTAAAATTACCATACATCTAGATCATATTTCGTAGCCTTTTAAGAAAGAGAAGAAAAATTGTTTATTTATTTATTATTAATGCTAACGATATGGTGATCGTGGTTGCGGCTGCAAAAGATAAAAGAGGAGCGATAAATATGCGAGCACAATCGTTACCGCTTCGGAAATCTTGTTGAAAAATTTTCTACATTTCTTTATTTCGATACCTAAATTTTAGTTATCTATGTTATATACCTACTTTTTGTCTACCAATGAAAGTACCACCTGAAACCGATAAAGTAGGTACAATCGGAGAATACCGAGAACAATCGTATTAATAAGGTATTGTAGGAACTTTCGTGAGAAAAATAAAACTGCATTTTGTCATGATAATATTAGGAATTTTGCGAAAGAATTTGCGGAAAATACTTGTGTCGGACGGGCTTTTAACTTACGCAACGCACTCAAAATATCTTGATCGATATCGATATTATTACAAATATATCTGATACTAAAAAATATTGAGCAACTGGAATATTTTTGTATATGAACAATCCCCGATTTATTTACTCTTTCATTTGATTTTTATTTCTAACATTTTTTGTGATTCATTGTGTATTTTTTATTGTTTTA